AGGCATTTTCTTTCTTTTTTTTTTTTCCAGCATTTTTGTCTTCCCTCACCGTTACGTAATTTATTTTTCGAACCAATAGTATGAAAAATTGACTTGTGGCTGACTAGGAGAAAATACAGTAAACACAGTGAAAGCAATAAACAAAGATTTTGAACATAGAATGAGTGACGACATCTTTCAAAGGAAAGACTGCAATATCAAAAGAGAGGAAAAAGGCAAAAAAAAACCTTAATGTACCTTCAAGACAAATAAAAAAAAAAAAAAAATGATGCATTGCAACTCCTAGATCTAGGTTTTTTTGTTTTAGAGATGAAAAAAATATTTTTTGGGGTACATTTTAACAGAGGTCAAAGGGATGTTTTGATCATCATATTATAAGTGAATACATTTTGGGGTTTTCAAGCAAGACTATAACTGATATAGTTTTAATGTGCATGCAAAATTAAGAATTATGTTAGACACAGAGTTATATAATACAACTAGCATGCAAGCCACTGTATTTTGTTTACACATTCCTTATATGTAAATCCTAAATGTGTCTTGGTTTACATATTTCCTTCACCTGCTTTACTACATATTTGCCATCAGACAAATGAAAATCATACTAATGTCTGGAACATATTTAAGTAAGATTTAAATGAGTCCAAATTATATTTAGAAAACAAAAAGTTCATTTCGGTTGCAATTTCGTTGGGTTACATTACAAAACATTTATAATTTATAAAGCATTTTACTATTGTTTGCTGGACAGAATGTGAATAGGAGGTATAATTTATCATTATTATTAATTACTGTTCTAATTTATCTGTATATTTATTATTTATTTGTGAAGAGGCTCTGATAGAGTTGTAAATGGCTGTGTTTACAACACCCTACTTCCTAATGTAGGGTGGTGTTGTCAGCTTACAGCTTGTTCTGAGGTTCTATATGGATTGGATGCTTCGAGATCTTTGAAAACTCAATTCAATTGAGTTTATTTATATAGCGCCAAGTCACAACACGTGTCATCTCAAGGCACTTTAAAGTTCACCAGATCATACAGTCAAATTGAATCAAGGTTTTCTATCAAAGGAAAACCAGTTGATTGCATCGACTCATTGACTCGAAGGCAATCCCTCACACTAAGCATGCTTGTAGCGACAGTGGAGAGGAAAAACTCAGGGATGAGAATTAGACATTATATTTATTATTTAAATCATCCAGAGACAATAACTCTCCATATCTTCTCACTGCTGTTCTGGGTGCTAATAAAATTTTCGAAGAGCTTCAACAGCAGTACCATATTAGATTTATAGTCCCAAACACTACAGATATATTAGAATCTATCCTTACGTAAATGTTACCCAGGCCCATTTATACAGTGAAAGATAAAAACCTTTCAATAAATCAAACATTTACCGCCATATATCTGACTCGTAACTTTTTAAAACAACTATTTTCATTCATTTCAAATGGAACCATTCACATACTTGTATTGTATTATACTGCACTTACAGTACTCACCACTGTTCTGTGCTATTTACCTTTTTCCTCTGAGCATTGACCAGCCGGCTTGCTTTGACTTGCAATGAATAATGGGATACCCAAGGCTCTGTAAGATACACCGGACCTGTGCTTCAAAACGGGCAAAAAGAAGGCTGCATTCGTCAGCCGCATAACAAGGAGTCCTCAAATCCAAACAGACCTCGGCACTGGGCCATTATAATCAGCCGACCAATTTGGTCTTTGGATGACGCAGCCCCTGGATTCGAACTTAGCAGATGTCACAGTCTTAAAGGATGTTTTGGTCAAAAGTTCGAAGCTTTCCAAAAGGATCCACTTTACCAGCGCCCCCGCAAACAGGAAGTACTTTTTATATCATCAGTCATCATCAGAACCATTCAAATTAAACATCCTGATGTCTTGTTTACATGCACAGCAAATCTGAAAACACTATTTGTGTTATACACTGATATTATACTTAACACTCACAGTTGTATACTTTCATCATGCCTTTTTTAAGTGAAGGCGGCTCCCCAGCGCCTCCTGCTGGCCAGCCACCACTACTGTTGATGAGCGCCACACAAAATTTACATAAATCAAAGAAGATCTGAATAGAAGGTTTATTTTTTTTTTCTATTTTTCAATAAAGTCTTTAATGAATTATTTAGGTGTACATTTTTTAATTATTAAAAATCTCACATTTATCTCCACATAAATCTTTAGCTGACAAAATCAAATTTTAAATGAACGGACTTATGACTTTTTTTTCCTCTATCAGTTCATCCCTTTGATGTTTTATTTTATATATATATTATATTTTATTAACACAGTGACTATTTAGTATAATCAGACTAATATGAATAGTTTTTGCTGGTTAAATATTATTTTTCACTGTTCTGAGACTAGAATCTCAAAATTCCTCTCGATGTTTATCTGCTTTGACAATCACTGGATACTAGCATCAATTATACAGTATTTGTTAAAATATAACTACATGTGTTGTCTGCCTGACCCTAAAGGGCACTGAATGCATCATTGACAACTGACATGTTTCCTTTGTGTACATATAACATAAATGCAGCACCTAACATTAAACCACACTTGACTTTTTCTTTAACAAAGATGGAGAACTTAGAGGAGTACAAAATTGAAGAAAAATTGCATGTGAAAGCATGGAAACTGTTATTTAAACAACTTTAGAAATAACAGATTGTTTCTTATTCTTTTTTATCCAACCAGTGACATAATCAAACCCTAGACTTCAGGGAAAGAAGATGTATTTTTCTTCACACGCTACCAACGCATTTATATTATGTGAAATGATAAATTAACTTACAATGTGGGTTTCTTTTGACTTTTAAATTACATTTTTGGAAGAGCCATTTTTCAGATCGAGCTGAGCTCAAGTGATAAACATAATTACAGGTTCTTGCAATCATAACATGCAGAGATGCATCAAATCTTGACTGTTTGAAACAAGGAGCTCTGTCATTAATAAGAGCATAAAAATGCAGCATTGGGTTTTTTAAATTATAATACGTAAACATCTATCACACCACCATATGCGCTTCTTGAGTATTTGAATAGAAGTGACTAATGACTAGATGGCAAGACCTTTTTTAATAAATTATGAAGCACGCGATTTAGGACGATGCATTAAAATTTTTTTTTAAAACAACATGTTCTACTTTTTATTGGAGAAAGGCTTGTGGAAGGTATGTTTCTGTTTAATGTTTATTTATATACATATATAATACTTTTAAGATACTTTAGAATCACCCATTGGCATTGTATGATGAAATAATGACTTTAGATTCACTTAGGTGTAAATTAATTTCTTATAAATAATTTTAACCCCCCAAAAAAACATTTGCCTTTAAAGTGAAGGACACTGCCCATTTTATCATGGCCCTGGCACACACCATATCATAAAGCTTGGTTTCTGCCTGATCCGTCCGCGAGGTCAGCGCAACAAAATCACGTAATTTTTGGGCTTCCATGCATCTCGGCGTGGCATCCGTGTAGACAATAATTCCACACCAAGCTAGGAAATTTCTAACTAGGGCATCAGCTCCTGCTGACGAGGGTTCGCAAATGTAACATCTAGTGATCCTGTGATTTGGCCTATGATTGTCACCACTATCAACAGATTGTGGAAAACTCCTGGAAAAGAAATAAATTTTGCTATCATTAAGTGTTTAAAGTATATGGGAGTCTATTACTTGTCCCCCCACAAGTTTTCTTCCTCCTCCTGGATGTAATAAAACAAAACTGTGCACAAGGAACGCCTTCATGGTTTGTTCACGGTTATTTGCTAAATTATTAGTGCCTTGTTTTGCAGTATATTGTGTCAAGCTGCTCTTTAGAATAGCTGGTGGAGATAACTCCCGATGTTTAGAGCATAGATACCTTATGTCAATCAACAGACAAAAACAACCTTCTCCTGTTTTATGCTATTTTGAACTTTTTATACTTAACTTTACCTCATGTTATTTTCGTCATTGTACAATCCTAAAAAAAAAAATAAATCAGGGAACTCATAAACAACACAATATAACATCAATTGAATCAAACTTCTGTGAAATCAAACTGTCCACTTAGGCAACATTACTGATTGCTACTCAATTTCACATGCTGTTTTGCAAATGAAATAAACAACAGGTGGAAATGATTGGCAATTAGCAAGACACTCAATAAAGGATAGGTTCTGCAGGTGGGGACCACAGACCACTTCTCACTTTTCACTTTTGTGCGTGACTCCAAATCCAGGCCTCCATTGGTTAATAAATTAGATTTTAATTGATTATTTTTGTGAGATTTTGTTGTCACCACATTTCTCTGTGTACTCAACAAAGTTTTCATTGAGAATATTTCATTCATTTAGATCTAGGTTGTGTGGAGCGTTCACTTATTTTTTTTCAGCAGTATTTCTTGTTTAATATTATCAGTAGGAGTTTAAGATTTACTTCCTATATCAGGTGCACTATAAATGTCGCCATGACAGCATGCTTTTCGATGTATGCAGATTAGCATGCATGCAACAACAACAACAACACTATTTTGGGAAACATTGTAGTTGAAAGCCTCAGAATGTGTCAATATGCTCAAGTTGTTCAAATCAGTGCTTGCAGGACACATTTCACACTTTTATTAAGGTTGATAGAGAGGCTACTGATCATTTTAGTTACTTCTTAATCTTAATATTGATCCCTAATAACAATTAATCGAATTGGTCTTAGTACTTCACTTTACGTAGTCATATACTGTGTGTAAAAAAATATTTTTAGCTTGCTTGTGTTTTACAAAAATCCTTCAGATTATTAATGTTGTGACTTTGGATTATATTGATAAATTGAAATGGCTTTGGGGATCGACCGGGTATTTGCAACCTTCTCAGAGCACAATTGCACTGCTCTAACCCACTAGGCCAACACTCTTCTATTTTTGCTGATAAGCATAACTTTAAATGCTTAAAGTAAAGTTGCCAGCATGCAATGAATACCTTTCTTTCTGAACAGGAACAGTTTTGGTGGAAAACATGCAAATTAATGGAAGGGCCCGTGATCCAGGTAGAACCATCTCCCTGACACTACTTGACAACTATGACTACTGGGTTATACTGGAACCAGCACGGCAGAGACTTTATCTCAACAGTACCGGACGCGTTCTGGACAGAGATGTGAGTACAGGAGAGGTGGAAAGAGTGTCAAGATAAAAGTCCTTATACCTTTTTTTAACATATAAAAAAGAAAAAAAATATATGTATTTGTAAGTGTATCTTTTTTATTTACTTGTTAATCTGTGTTTAAAAAGCAGTAGGTATCCTCTTTCTTAAAAAAAAAAAAAAGTATAGTATATCATCATGAATGCAATTTTTTTATTCCCTGCTCTTTTGTTTTTGCCTTTTTGTAGTTACTGTAATAACCACAACACTTTTGGGCATAAATGATTTTACAGCAAAATTTGTGGTACTTGATAGTATTATGATTCAGTATTGAATAGTTATTGCAATCCAGGGAAAATCCCAAACCTGCATCTCAGATTATGCAGCATGCCCACTTAAGCTCCTATTTGGTGCACATAAATGCTGTTCTTATAGATCGGCTTGAGTGGTTGGAATTTGAGAGATGGGGGCAAAGTGGTTAGCAAATTAAAGGCCATTTTAAGGCAAGTGGTTAGATCAAATGCACTAAGTGCTGTGAGGTGGATTTGATGTTAAGCTATTGATGGGAATGTTTAAAAAAAAATCAATAGGATAAATTGCAACGCAGGGTACATTTTACATTACAAATAGAAAGGCTGATTTGGATTATAGCCTGCTGCTTTACTTAACTTTTGTTGCTTAAGTTTGATCACATGTGACATGCACGGCTATCAGTAATAGAGGGGCAAATGCATTCTATTTTATTCTAACAGAGCCTTATATTAATTTTTTTTTACCTATAAAATAAAACATAAAAAAATTACCTGAGATAATAAAGATAATTTTAGGTCCTTATGTGTAATCTCTAATCAGGTAAATATGCTTTAGTGTTTAGGAAACTGCTAGCTCAAAATTCTGATAGTATTTTATCACGATCAACTAAAATCTCTTGGTAAGTTCAACAAAGTAGATTACTGCAACAACGAAATGACATGTTTTCTATATTTTTTGTCTCTTGTGTCTTTCAGCCACCTAATTACATCACAACGATTGTGGTTCAGGTCCAATGCACTAATGAGCTGGTCGGTACGGTTATTTTACACGAAGTTCGAATTGTTGTGAGGGACAGAAATGACAACAGTCCCCAATTTCAACAGCCACGCTACTATGTTTCTATAAATGAGGTAACATAGTAGATTTTCCTGGCAGCTCTCTCTGCATAGTTTCTACACTAATGTACTGTATTCCAGTTTTAACATATAGTGGTTGATTTTCATGTTAATCTGCTGCACCTTTTTTAAAAAAATACAATGTATTAAACATCATTAATGGACCTCTTTATTTTTAAAATGTTTAATCTTTTTAAAAACCCACACAGATGCATCAACTAGACATTGATGTCTGCCTGTAAGATGGATGATATAGAATATCATCAAGGCTTATTTATCACTGTGATTTAGTTTGGGAAAATAATCTTTGCATTGAAGATGGTATGTATTTAAAAAAATCCCCAAATTGTAATTTTTCAGAACTTTTCTGTAATATATTTTGTAATATATTAGCCATGTTGGACTATACAGTCATGTGGAAGAGGGCTGTTTTGATATCTGTCCAGCATACATTTACTGACAAAATCAACATGGAAAGCTAGAACTAAAAGTATAAATATATGTATATAAAAGTTTAAATGTATGAGTCGAAAGCTGGTTGGAAGAAAGAACTATGGTAGAAAATATGTGTTTGGACTGGGTATGGTATGGACTGTGGCTGTAGTCAGTGCTTCCTGAACTAGTCATTTGAGTTGCAACTAAATAGTATTTTGCCAATTATTTAATCAGTTGCTTATTTTTTCAATTGTTTGATTAATAAAGGTTTATAAATATATATTGTATAGAAATATATAAATATATAGTTTTGTATGTACCTGCATTCCTTTTTTCAGTCTTTCCATATATATGCTTTGAATACTATTCACTTAAATTGAATAGTAAGAAAGTATATCTATGTTAAGATAAAGTCTTTTAGGTTCTTTTGTTATCAGACACACAATTTATCATACAACATTTTGCATGATAAATTGCATTGAATAACAAAAGAGCCCAAGAGACTATGTATATTTTTTTCTGTTTACTGTCAAGTAGGAACATTTTGCACTTTAAGCTTTTCTGAATACTGAAGGTGAATCGTACTAATAGTGCTTTTCCTTACATTTTGCCCAATTGGCAGAACTAACAAAAAACACAGTTTTAGCCTTTTAAATCATGTTTTGGAGACTAAAATGGGGCTTCATGCAAAATTCTGCAGTTTTTTTACACTTATTTTATGCATTGCAAGTTCAAAATTTCTGTCATACCTTATTATTGTTGCCATCTGAAGCTACCCTAACAGTATAGTGAGTCACTCTACATTGCTGTCAACTACCCTGAACAAGATTTCTTGCCTGCTGCATGGTACTGTGGACTTTGCTCAGGGCTCTGGGGAACAGCAGTGGTTCTCATACTTAGTTTTTGTTATTTTGTCAGTGTTGCACGAAAGCCTTCAGACTACTGCTGACTGCTACATTTTCCTTTTTTATTTTTATTTCTTTGTATTAATGGAGCTATCGAGGCAATAGTGCCAGTTTAATAAGATAGCTTGCTCTTGTATGCTGATGTTGTGCCCAGAGGTAGCTGCTTGAAATATTTATTTATTTTTCTTCTCGCCCACATTTTTTCTTCAGCTCACACCAGTTGGAACTACCATTTTCACCGGCTTCTCAGGAAATAATGGTGCTACAGACATTGATGATGGACCAAATGGACATATAGAATACAGCATCCTTTACAATCCCAATGATCCGGTATATGGGCCAGTCACACCAGCATAAGGACCCACTAAGCTGTATAAAATGTTTTAGGAAATTATCTAATTATTATTCTGCTTTGACTTTTTTTTCTTTGATTGCAGGAATCTAACAACACAGTCAGGGTTGGTAACACCCTTTCAGGAAGTATTCTACTGGCACAGAGGCTAAACTATGAGGACAAAACCCGCTTCTTTGTATTAATCCAAGCCAGTGTAAGTGAAATTTCATGCCTACAGATATTTTTGAATACAGATTTATTGTGATGTTCTATATGTCTTAATTAGCTGTGGTAATCTGTGTATCTCTATAAATTAAAATAAAATTAAAAGCTTATTTCATTGGTTATTTAACACAAAAATAATAATATAGATAATATATACAGAGTTAGCTCATTAAACTGAATTTAATTCAGTTCCTCAAAATGGTACCAATTCACAACCCATGCCATCTTAACTCAATTTAAAGAGACAATTTAATGAAATCATACAAACAAATGGTTTCAAAGTTTTCTATCTAAGAAAATACAGCTATTTGCATTCAGTCAATTCACAATTCCCCTCTTCTACTGGAAGGTTGCTTAGATAATGTCAGAAGCCTTTGCAGCTATCCTTCTCACAAAGTATGTTTGCTGGGACAGAGGAGAGGAAATTTATTTACAATAAGCTTGTGAGGATTCTTACTTATCCAGGTTCTAGTCATTCAAAAAAAAAGTTAAAAAACAAACCACTGGATTGTTTTCCAGGTTTAAAGACATCTCACCTGGTTAGCCAGGCCAACAATAACCCTAATGACTCCCCTATTAGAGAGGCCAGTATCTGGTTTGTGCAGGCAAACCACCTTAATGACTCCCCATAACTAAAAGGGGGGGAGGGGGGGGCTGGTTTTTGATTAGATTTTCATTTTTTTCTATGCCATAACAACTTTTTTTGCTGTGCCACTCTATAAGCCTGGAACTCACACGCTACTCCAGACATTTCAAATTGAAAAAGCTTTCTGGATGGGAAGTGTAACATCTTCAAACTTGGAAGTCCAGTGGTTTGTTTTTTGTTTTCTACTTTTTTGCAATACTTACAGTAAGAGACCTCCAGCAGAAAGTGAGCAGTACCAAATCCCTCCGTAGCTGTATCTATGCAGTTTTGTACACATTTGTAATATCTGTTGCCCCGTTGTGTATAATTCAATTTACAGTATATTTGCCAAAAATCCTCAATATGAATGCATACTTAAAGGGGAGTGAGCCTGCAAGGGAGAGAACTTTTGGCATGACACCACTTGAATAAAAAGAGAATTAAGATAAAAAAAATAAAAATAAGTTACAGGTGATGCTACTAAACACTGTAGCATTTATGCTAAAGATGAACTGTTGGGTTCAAAAATGTAGGTTTGTAAAAGAACAACTGAAATTGGGACTTTCAAACAGCTTCCTGCAGGAGGGGAGACAGAGCTGCACCCAACACTCTCTCTCCCCTGGACCTCCTCTGCAGAGCGCTTTATTAACAGAACATAACACATGGTTCCAAACAGAGTATTGTTCTGACAGGACAGTTGATCAGGTCATAAGACAGGACGCTCTCCTCTTGACTGAATCACAAGGCGGTGTGGTATCTTGACTATTATCTTGCCAGAGAGGTCACTAGTGTTGTATTAGCAAATGTTTACATTCCACCTTCTCCTAGTTGACACTTATTGTGATGTCATAAGTTCCAGTGCTGTTAAGCTACAGACAAAAAACAACCAAATGCATTTGAGAAAATAGTAGATATTTTAATTATGCCTCTCTCTTTGTTATACTTTATGTTCTAACACTTGCTCTGCAAGATTAAAAACACACCTCGTACATCTCTACAGGAAGATATTCCCTTGGGAACTTGGATTGCAATCTTGTTTTTCCTCTTGATAAGAGGAATCCTACATTAAGAGGACTGTAAGAAGAGGGCCTCAATAGGATAAGGAAGTGCTACATGGTTGTTTTAAGGCTACACAGGATGCATTGTTTCAGCCTCAAGGAGATTACGTTGATGACTTGGTGTCTGACTATATAAGCTTTTGTCCAAATGACACCATCATTGCCAGAACAGTAATGTTGAAAATGACATCAAGAAACTCAACAAGCTGATAAAGAAGGCCTATTTTGTTTTAGGAAATCCTCTAGAACCCCTGGTAATGAATTCACTAAGAATAATTCTTCATAAAATCAGGGAAAATTACAGACAACTGTGATCATCTTCATAATACTTTTAAATAAAATAGGGTCTTAATTTAAAGGCCTCTCCTGAACTGGTGCAAGACAGACCACTACAAATAGTAACATCTACAGCAGCTAATTAAAACACAGAAAAAAACAGTAACAGTTAATTACCGCAACATTGGATTTTACTTTGACAATTTTGAAGAGAAAAAAAAGTCAGTTGATGGTCTTGTTTTGTGTTCTGGAACAAAAAGTTTGGTAGAATATATGCAGGTTGTTTGTCTTTTTTTTATTTTATGAAGATTGTGTAGCTCAATATCAGGTGGATAATATAAGTTTTACCAGTCTTGACTGAAATTGAACAAATAGTCTTTGTATGATAAAGAAATTGTTAAGTTTTATTGTTAAGTAGTTAATTATCACTTTTTCCCCCAGGACCGTGCTCCATACCCACCAAACAGACTAACAGCTACCACAACTCTGACTGTGGATGTCTTAGATGGAGATGACCTTGGTCCAATGTTTCTGCCTTGCATTTTGGTGAACAACACCCGTGACTGCAACCCACTCACCTACCGTGCTGCTATCCCTGAATTTACTGAACCGGTGAGAGGCAGTTAGAGAGACAACTGTCAAAACCTTCATACTCTCCATATTTTAGGATCAGAATTTGTATGCAGCAATTTTTTGTTTGTCTAAAACTGTTTGGCTGTATATACTCCCATGATGCACCTTTCAGATTGCCTAATTGTCAGCTTACACCCTGTTGTGTCGAATCAGTTGGAGATGGAGGTAGTTTTTCCTTCTTAGCCTTAGTGTTTCTATTTTAGAATGAATCTGTGGACATTTTTACCACAAAGTCTGACAGCAAAGTCTGTGACAGCCAAAACCTGAAAAATCTGTTTAGTTAAAATATATTATAGATTATATTATATTATATTATATTATATTATATTATATTATATTATATTATATTATATTATATTATATTATATTATATTATATTATATTATAGTTACAATTCTATTACACGTGAACAGACCTGCAGCTTTGTATGCATGCATGACTCGAGAAAAGAAGCTCCACAGATGATCATTTTGCATCTCTTTACACCCTCTGTGTCTTCACCCGTCAAGTTTACACATCTTAGTCGCATCACAACCACAAAAGGTTGGATCTCACCTATGTTTTCACTGTCTACAGCTTCAACAACAAGACAAACAAATCAAATACCACCAAATGGAAAAAATGACTAAATTATCAAATACTGCATTTAAACCTTTTTGAAATTACAGAGACAGAATATGACAAATGACAAAACAAAAATATCTTACTGTAAAGGTACAGTATTCTCTCTAATCGTTGTTCAGGATATATTTCACTAATTCCTGCACAATGCTCCATATGATCAGATATTTATATTTTTGCATGCACTGGTGAAAATACCCCATGTAAACTTTCATAAATTGGCATAAAGGTTACATGGATTCCATTTAATGATCATTGGGGTTGCTCAAATAAAATGTTCTTTAAATACAGAAATACTGTATCTGAGCTTAAGAATGCAAATGGATGTTGAAATATGGAATATGATATGGCCTGACATCATTTTACATTTCAACAGTTTCAGCATAAAAAATGATCATCAGCATTAGTGACTAATAATTCTTGAGCATGTATCACCATATATTTCGTTTATTTTTCATTGTTTGAATTAACTAATCAGATGGAAATTATCAGGGTTTGGACAATAACCAGAGTGTTGAGCTGCATCTTCTTTTGTCTGACTTTTGGGCTTTAACTGATGGCTATGTTTTTTATACATCTGTTAAAAATAGTTTGTTCTTCCCTTTAACACCATGGTTACTTTGACTCTTATACAGACACATACAGGGATTTACATTATTATTGATCAGGGGGCTCCAGTCCCGCTTTGTATCCAAGTTTTTATTGCTTTTTATTCTTATCATTTTTATAAATGTTGTCAATTCCTAACATTTTGCCTTATTTTTTCCTACAAGTGTGCATAGAGTTTTTACTCTTACTTGTCAAGCTTCATGTCAGCAGATTTCAAAGACTCTTTTAGTTGTGATTTTTATACTGATATGCATGCCGGAATGTTTCCTAATGAATTGCACCACCCGTGTTTTGAAGCCTGTGGTATTTGTTAAGCACCAGAAACAGGCACTTATGAGATTTCTTTTGAGCATTTAAGATGAGTAATCAACATGGGCTTTACAGTTTTCATTCACTTTTTTTTTCACTGCTGCTGCGTAACCATTATGCTAGCATGTCTGTCCACTGGGAGATTTGTATTCCAGTAATTGATGAGAGAATATAATTAATTACAATAGGGAGACTGGCATTATTAAGTTGATCCGTATTTATTTTTTGTCTTGGGGGTATGCTGTGTGGGCTGTGAAGTCCCCTGGATAATGACTGCTCGAGGAGGGTATTATAGCTAATCATCATTGTGCAGAGCTAGGAGGATTTGATTTAGTACACCTCCATACAGTGTTAAAGCAAGAGGGCTGATTGGTGAGGGGTGTAAGGATTACTACAGAGCTGAAAGATATAAATATACCCCCTCAGGGAGAAGGTCTTCCACCAGGGAGCTGTTTGCCTGGCCTCTGTCTGTGTTAAGAGGGTTTATCACAGGCCGTTATTTGCATGCTTGCACATACTATTATAGCAAGATGTAGGCATTTTACATAAAGAGAACAATTATTGAGCCCAAAGTGTTCAGCATACTTTCTATTAATCATATGTTAGTGAATTTTTGTAGAAGAGGGGCTATAGTAAATATGTGCTTTGCTGTTTGCATGAGCCGCAGCAGGATAAGTAGCCAAAAGGAGTGTAGCATAATGTCCTATGAGAGATAAGTCACTGCAAAACTTGAGTCTATCCGGTGCACTCCCACTTCTTTAAAGTTTAAAAGCAGGACTACAAGGTTGCTTTGGTCACTTAAAATTGCCCTTTGTTGAGCTGTATGGGCTCTTGTTTGTCATTTGTGTCTCTGTGTTGCTATGTGATGGATTGTAAAACCTTCCAGGATGTACCCCACCTCTCACCCAATGAAAGCTAGGCTGTAAAACTGAAGCTGGGTCTGGGTTTTTGAATTAACAATTATCTCAATTAGTATTACACTTAGCTGCTCTAATCTGTCTAGCATCACCTTAACATCGGTAACTTTAAATAGAGTTTAAAAAATAAGGACCACTACCTTGACTCTAATCTTTTCAAAAGGCAGCCAACCATTCAGCTTATCTGTTATCAGATGAAAGGTTTTCTGTCTCATGCTCTATGACAGCCAGATAAATCTCGAACAGAAAATGCTACCTATATTCAAACAGCTTCTTAAGTCTCATTCTCCTCTAGCTTACACTTTGACAGTTTTATCTTATGGGAAAAAGTCAACAATTAATCTCTTTTCCTCAGTAACATTGTCTACAGTGAAAAGTGTTGTTTTTTTCCAAAGCAAACCCTTCGAAACAAAAGAGCACAGTAATATAGAAAATATTTAAAGGGTAAGAAAGTTAAATTTAAAGACATGTTTTTGTTTGTTTTTAAAAACAAATTTGAATATTACCATTAACTTATAAAGGTACTTTGATTTTAAATATTTTTAATGTTTAATGCTTAACTCTAATTAAGTTTTAATTTGTTTTTACAATACATTGGTCACATACAAAGGAATGAAATAAGACAGTTGAGTTGCATAGCATATCCATTCAGCCAAGAGCTTTTTAAATGGAAAATTAAAAAGGCAAGTGTCATGAAGTAATAAATCTTTTAAAAACAACTTGGAGTTAAAAAAGAAAATAAATGACATTATATTACCATTATAAGAGTCACTCCCTTCTTATAATTGCTGACTTTCCAACTTTTTACATGTGTCCTCTGCTATTTTGAGGAGCTATCTAGTCATGGGCTCCCAAGTCTGAAGATTTCAGCCCTTCTTCCCTCATCCTAATGTTTAGCTCCCTTCACATATTTTCTATGAAATTGTGGTTGGGATTTTTGGTAGGCAACTGCAATATATACATTTTACATTTAATCAGATGAGACATTTTGGCTACATTATATAAATCTTAAAAAAAATGCCATATACATGAAATGTATGTTCCAATCTAAACGTATGTTCTTTCTTGTTTCTGACTCTCATCTTCTCCTTCAATGCAGACTAAACTGAACCCACTTAATGTGACCCCACCTATCCGGGCTGTGGACATGGACAGAAACATACAGCCCCCATCAGAGAGACCTGGCATTCTTTATTACATCTTGGTTGGTAGGTTATTTTACCTTTAATGAAAAAAAAAAAAAGCACTTTTAGGTCAGTTATCTCATGACTTATGTTTTGAATTTTTATTCTGATGTTGCTGTTGCTGCCTTTTCTTTTTGCAGGTCAACCGAACACATATCCAGAGTACTTCTCCCTGAACCGGACCACTGCAGAGTTGCTTGTTCTGAAACCTATTAGCCGGGACCTGTATCAGAGGTTCACACTTATCATTAAGGTCAGAACTTAGATTAAAATGTGCTTTTTGAGTACAGTAAGTGCTTTGAAAATGGTAACACTGGTGTTTTAATCTAAAGATTAAATGCAAGAATTTCTATGAGGGTTTAAATTTAATATCAAAAATGTTACTAAATCTGTTCAAAGCTAAAATATTCTTTCTTTAAACTATATGTAATGTAAAGACAGACTGTTCCTGATCCTTATTAGTTGCATCCCCTACTCTATGCTTAAATACTTCTCTCATACTCTCAATGTGTTGCCATCAGACTTGGTTTAATATACGTACAGTTTACCTTATTCCTTGCTGTTTATGTTCACCTGTTCTACCTAGATAACCCAAGTCCTGAAGGTCAGTAAGCTTATCTTTGCCTGCTTAGGAAACATGAGAGTGAAAGATGCTATGATTTATTGACTTAACAGGCAGCTTTAACACTCTGAATCATAAATATGTGCAGAGAGCATTCGGTGTTGTTGGGGCAGTGCAGCAGTGTGGATTAACTTTCTGTTGCTAACCTCAAGGCACCTCCGAGCACTTTTCTACCTGTTATGCAGGTAGGATGGCTGGTGAGGAAAGAGATGAGAGAACAATATAATTTTAAAATGAAGCACAAAGACAAATTGATTATATATGAGCATTTGCATGTGTGTGCTGGGCTGCGAACTATAGGAAGAGAATATAGGAAGAGAGGAAGTTCAAAGGGGAGGTAGGGGGAAACGATGATAGATGAAGAGGTATCCATATTGTGAATGTTAGGGGCCTTATCTATCTAAGTCATTTAAAGGAGATTGAGCACTCAGGAAAACCCGGCAAATGAGAACTGATGGTTTCCTTGTATGCGGCAGATATCCCTAATGCTTCCTGGAAGCATATGTTACACTGTGAGTCCGGTTGCAGGAAGCACATCTGTTCTTCTTCAGTGGTCATCACTGATCTTGATAGAGGCACATCCACCAATAGGACTTGGAGATGGAGAAAAACTGTTTGGAAAATTAGGGAGGAAAGAAATGAAAAGAGGGAGAAGAAAAGGAGCCATGCAACACTTACACAGTGATGGAATCAGGACAGGAAAATCAAGATTGATTGATGAATGGCGCCTTTTGTTTGCGTTGAATTTTAAAATTGGCCTTTGTGTTGCTGCTGTAGAGCATGGCTCATTGAGCAGTGCCTCTGTAAAATGAGGACACGTTAAAGAGTAAAATCACCAGGGAACCAGGTAATAATACGCTCTGTCTTAGCTCTTATAGACAGAGATGTTTAAATGTCTGTGTGTGTGAGTGCATGTGTGTAGATGCTGAGCGCACATCATGCCCATAAATGAAAGCGCTTTTCCCCTCAGGTGTTTTTGTGGACAGATTGGATCTCTGGTTTGACATGCTGTGGGTTTTCGTGCTTTATCACAGGGATAAGGGAAAATGGTTCAAGATTGAGGAGCATAGTCTGAAATAACACTATGATAGAGAAATAACAGATGTGAAGTTCACTTAAAAGAAGCTTAATCAGAAGCGCCAAATGTTGAGGTGAAAAAACCCTTCAAAAGATTGAAGATTGTTGGCACACATAGATTTTCTTTGTTTTTGTTTTGAAAATTTTGTGTTTTAGATAACTATACAAATTTTTCAAAATGTAACCCACATAAATTTGAAATATGACATTTTTCAAATTTCTTTGTTTATTTATGATAAAACTGACTTTAGACCTTCTTTAAAATTAGTGACATGTCTATATTGACCAGAGAGTGTTGAGGCGGAGAGGATTCAATTCATGTTCTGTGGTTGGCAGGAAGATACAAGAGCTTCTAGTAAAGATACCCATGGATACTCAGTTTATCAACATTATCATTATTATTATTATTATTATTATTATTATTGTCTGACATTAAACCGGTAAAAAAAAAGTTGGAGGCCATCTACCAAATTTACCCAGGAGACTAAAAAAAATCTATCCAGAAACCCAAAATAAACAGAATCAAATCTAAAGCAAACAAGCCTCTCTCGCCTCAGTTCAGTGTTCATCATAATTTATAGTAAGAGGGAAATTAGGCAAGACTGGCATTTACTGCTAAACAAAACCAACACCATGGTCTGTAACACATTTGCCAAAAAAACCTTGATGACTACCAAGATTTTATTATGATGTAAAAAAAAAATAATGAAAGCATTTCCGAAAGACAGAATGCCAGTCAAACATGGTCAAAGTAGTGTGATAGTGAGATAATAGAGAATGTCTGGTGATCAGTTTGCAAACTTAGAATGAATTGCAATGTGATACAGCAGAAAGACAGCTGTTAAAGGCAAACAAAAAAAATAATTTAAAAGGTTAAAAGCAATATATGTTTGTTGGTATTTTGTTAAAAGTTTGGACCGGTTGGAATGATTCTGCATAAATGGAGCCTTTACTTCAAAACAGCCTTTGATATTAACTCAGGTTATTTTGGTCTGATAGTATTTTGTTTTGATTATGTTAAACTGTATGTGTAACCAAAGAAATAAATTTGAAAAAATCTATAAGAGGGTAAATACTATTACAGCACTGTAAATTAGAGCACACACACGCAACAAAGAGAATACTTGGCCCTATATTTTCTGGCATTTGGATGCACAAGGAATCTACATTCTGTAACACAACGCCATAGAAATCAAGCTAATTTGCTAAATTAGTTCCAGGTCATAACCTAAAATGACGTTGCTTCTCTCCCCCTCTCCATCTGGATTTTCAAAGCCTTACCATTTGTGAAGCTTCCATGGTGTGGGTGGCAGTTGTGACATTTGTGCTTACAGTGGGAGAAAGACTTAAGCAGCAGCTTAAGTGTATTATATTCATTTAGTTTGGTCTTTGTTAGTGTCAGGTATAATTTGCATCTTTTTAACATTTTTTCTGAGAGGTTGCCATTCCTGATTTACTCCAATATATTGTTCCTAAAGCAACTGTGTTAGCCACCAGTTGTGCAGGGGGAAGAGTCAACAGTTTTTGTCCTTCAAGCAATATTCATACATTGATACAGTTGTCACTTTTCCATTACTGTGTTGGACTGTGATGAAAGTTACGTGTATTTTGTTAGAACTGTTTTCATACTAAACAGTGTTGCTCCATTAACAGCTAAATTGCACTTTAACTGTTTATAAAATATTTTGACTTTTAAATTAGGACACTTATATGGCCAATTTCGGTAAACTCCTTCACTTTGTGCACCAGTTATATTCAAACCAACTCTAATTTATTGAAATTAAATATGTATGCGGCAGCTAAATTGGAATCTCAACACGCTTGGCCAATAATTCCTGACAAGCAGAAATTATTTACATTTCACCTGAATACTGCTTGAAGTGCATAGCTTTGAAGGTAAATTAAGTTGTTTAGTTTATTAAATTATTTTTTTAATTGAGATTTGTTAATGAAAGACAAGTGTTTTGTATTCTCTTTGCTTGCTATGATAAACAAGTTTCCTTCACAGTGTCTTTATAGAGCCCAGCTGTGTTTACCTTAGTATGAATACATATACGTTGTGAAGGTCTCTGATGTTTCTCGTTTAACATCAGTGAAAGTGTCCCGAAAACACAGAGACACCAGTTAACAGCTAAAAAATAAAGCCATAGAAATATTTGAAACTAAATTTGGTTATAAAAAAACATCCCAAGCTTTGAACCATCTTATAGAATGTTTTTAGGATGTGCCTCTAAAACGGAAAAAGTATGGCTCACATGCAAACCTATAAAGATTGAGAGCACAGTGAAGAAGCTCATAGGCCGATGGTAATTCTCGAGGAGCTGTAAAGATTGACTTCACCGACCTGTTTTCTATTAAGCCTACCATTTCACAATGATAATTAAGTTTGCTATTTTATTGCTAGTTTGCCACTGGTTTCTCATCATTATCACAATATCTAAAACTACATTCACTGCTCATGGGAACTCTTGACTATTTTGTGCCATCCACAAATCATATTTTAATGGAGGTAAGGTTCCTCCTTAAAAATTACCTAAAATAGCCAGAATTGTATTATACAACTTTAAATAAAAACATTCTATGGGCTGTGATGATCCAGTCAAATCTTCACACACTGTAAAATGATTTTAGAATCTGTGGTAATACTTGAAAATCCTAAACAAAATCCATCTAGCCTGAATGTTCTGAGCCATTTCGGGTTCAAGCCCCACTCCCATAGACTGCCACTCTGGGTCCCTGACCAAAGACCCTAGACCACACACTGCTCCCCTGTTGCTGCACAATAGCAGCTCACTGCTCCCCAAGGGGATGGGTTAAATGCACAGAGTAAATTTTGTTGCTCTGTAGTTGTGAAAGTGTTATGACAATAAAAAAAAAAAAAAAGCTGGGAAAAAAATGATAGGCTTACCATCTTGTCAAATCACATTTTCCTGAGAAACAAAGGACATCTGTTTTGTTACACTTGCTTTCACATTTTGTTGCAGTAAGAGCTGCTCTTTACGACCACAGATTGTAAGTCAGTTCCACTCCAGTGGAGTGAGTAAAGATAAGGCCTTCAACTCTACATTTGGATACTCAACTGTGATATGTTGGACATCCAGCATCACCATGGGACATGTTTGCAAAATGTTTGACACATGTGAAAGTGTTAATAGTTTACCTTTGCTGTTTTTGCACAATTAACTAGCCAATAAAATATAAAGGGAATTTTGAGAAAATCAGAAAAATCAAAATTTGGCAACTGGCTTTAAGAAAATAATTTTATTAAGAGATTTAAAAATATCTGAACTTGGACAACTTTATTTGTTTTCCCCAGCTTCATTGCAAGATTAACACTTTAGTGTTACTTTGTCCACACAGACAGCAACAGTTCAGTTTTCGGAGAAAAGAAATCAATGTGGTGAGGAGATTAGTGAGGATTGTGTTTATCAGATCATTGCATTGTTAATCAATAAGGTTCAAGACAGAACTGAAACTTTGCAAACAAACTAAGATCTCAGACTCAAAATTGACTTCACCACAACAGGGAGATATGGTAGAATTTGATGTAGCAGGTTTTAAATAGTTAATTGGTTAATTTTAGTTTAGACTCAGCTACTGTACCATTTCCTGAGATTCCCCTTCTCTTGATAGCAAATCATTTGACAAAATGAAATTGCAAGTAGTTAAGGTCTCTCTGCTTCAAACGATGGCATTTTCATAAAGTGCTATTGTAATTAACGAGTATTAGTACTTGCTGGAGCACTGTTTTTAACTTAGAAAATAAAGCTTAATCTCTTATTGAAAAAACAAACAAAAAAAAAACAAAGTTTTATATATGTTATTCTGTATTTACCATCTGTAAATTGTAAATCATTATATCTATACTGTGGAAATTTCTCAAACTATAACCTCTATGTACTTTTTTCCATCCAGGCAGAACAGGACAACGGACATCCCTTACCAGCTTATGCTGACCTCATTATCGAAATACTGGATGAGAACAACCAGGCGCCATATTTTCAGTTTGCCTCCTATCAGGGATACGTGAGCGAGTCCTCCCCAGTGGGGACAACTATTTCTGCCAGTTCCAACCTCACTGCCCCTCTAGGGATCATTGCTTTGGATAATGACATAGAAGAGGTAGGAATACAGAAAGCCCTTTAACACGTTAGATACTCTATAAGCTACACCATACATAGTTATGACATATTGCATTTTATGTTCTTTTGTATTCATTCAGTTTTTCATTTCTTTATGTATTTTTTATTCCATTCATTTTTTGATTTATTATTTTATTACATCTTTTTATTTGTTTGATCATTTATTCATATATAAATGTTATTCTAAATTTCTTTTAATTATTTCATTACATAAGTATTATTGTCATGCATAATTCTTTTATTAATTTGTCCATTTATTACTTACTCAATACTTTTCTCTAAGTAAGGATTAATTTATTAATTTAGCTCTAGCATGTATTTTGCTTGTATTTATTTTTCTTCTATATTTATCAAATACATTACACATATCCATTTCTTCATTAGATTGAATTGTACTTTTATTTTGTTTTATTTTTATGTATTTTTGTGACCATTCATCTATTCACTTTTTTTTTCACTTAAAGCTGTCCCCTGGTGATACACCTGTGGGTAAAAGGAGTGCCTTTCATTGTGACAACAAACAGCATAAGGAAGGATGTCCTGACCCAATTTTGTTGCTCCAAATTTCCTTAGAATTTTAATAACTAAACTTATTTTGACAGGCTTCTTATTAGTTTATTCCAATACTGATGGTATAAAAGGATGCAGATCTATACTCTGCAGATCTAGTCACTTAACATATTTCAGTATTGATATCAGTCAAGCAAATCAAATTTAGGGGGTATGATGGTATTGATATTTGCACAACAAATCTCCATCAGAAAGCTGTCTGAACATATTTAAATCACCTTTCCTCTCATTTTTTTTTATATAACGTATATCATTATGGTCAGGGAGCGAAAACATGGGAGGTTCAATATATTAATTTTTTGCTTGATATTCATATATAAACTAAAAAAGCAATGTTTACAGTGACATTAAGAACACCGTGCTTGCCTTTGCTTCTTATGATGTCCATATTTACTGTGGTTTTCTCAGAAAAGACCGACTTTTATGTTGGCATACGCGAAGAACATGTTATATTAAAAGAGATCAGATTAGCAGCCTTAATCTGCTCTTTTTCTGCCCTCCAACAAATTGACTCAGAACATCCTCACTATTAATGCATGAATCTCTCTACTGAAATACAAATGGATTCTAGGCATGCTTTTTGCTGGAGCCCCTTTTTACATGGACAAATAATTTGTTAAATGGGGAAGGAAGAACCTAACAGTTGATTAAGTATAAAATAGATCTATAGTTGTGATGGAGGATTATTTTGACCTGATTTTTGTAGTTTTAAGAGTGTTTTTATTTTGAATGTGCATGTGTTTGAAGTGCTTTGTATTTTTTTCTTTTCTGCCCTTTTCATTCACGGTTCTTTTTGTTCAAATCTATGAAGCTCTTCTCTACGGGTGTTATACTTTCCCATGCATGTTTTTTTTATCTGACTTGTTGTTTAGTGTATGGTTTGTTTTTAGAATCTGGAAAACGCAGCAGTTGGGTCTGCAAATGTTTTTAAATTTTAAGTGTAATGAAGAAAGTATGCTGTCAAATACATTTCAAATTGGAAAATACAGGATAGCCACGTCTGTTTCATCTCTTAAAATATCCGCCAAATCGGTCTTTGGAAAAGATTAACAAATCGAAATGAAAAAACAGGTAAAATCAATCAGATCCTGACCCTGTTGTTTACAAACTACTATGAGGACAAGGATTGTTGAATATGAGTCAAAGCTGGCCAGCAGCAATGTAGCATCATAATCTGCATCTTTGTTTTATAAAATGGACATCATCATATGTCTTCAGTGCCTCCATCTCAATGTAGAAAAAGAACAGTAAAGTAATTTTATGGAAATCATTGCCTAATCACGTATTTTTTGTAAAGCCAAGATAGGTGTTTCTCTTGTGAATAGAACCAAATTATTAAGGTATTTGCTTAAAATAAACCCACGTACTAGTTTTCATACTCCAATATTAGAGAACTGTCTTTTTTAAATGATGCCTTAGAACTATTTGTTTTGGGGTGAAATTTTAACATTTTATTTTTTCCAAAATTGATCATAGCATTGATTATAAACTTTACTACATTTTCTCTCAACCAAAATATGCATCTAAATGGAAAAAAAAAAAGACAAAAGAGGATCTGCTCTTAAAAAGATTGAGACATTATAGAAGTAACATTGAGTTAGAAGGAATATATGTAGTAATATTTAATAAAATATTGGTGTTTTAGTAAACAAACATTCTTATAACTGAATACTTCCACAAAAACTTTGATAACAACTGATAATGAGCTCTTAATTTCTAAAATTAGAATACATTAGTGCCATCAACAAGTCTTTTATTCCTTCCTTTATATATATATATATATATATATATATATATATATATATATATATATATATATATATATATATATATATATATATATATATATTAAATGTTTATATTGCTTCTTTTCATGATTGAAAAGCTACTTTAAAACAGTTATTTCACTTGGACAAACTTATTTTTTTTTACATAGTTTTCCTTTTAGTAGGTTGATGTTAGAAAATGTCATTTGGTCTAAATTTTAACTAGACGACAGTTTATGTAAGGTGCAGCTCAAAAGTCTGAGGTAGTTATGTTTTTTACAACCCCATCTGCTTTGTTTGATAAATCAATGCCACATGCTGCAAAACTGAGCATCACCATAAAGCTCTGTTTTGCTGCATCACGCTGCTTGAAATTTTGCATTTTTATCACCCAAATGATCTTGAAACTTGATCCAATGTTTAGATTCAAAACCACTTCTCAGAATCTTCTTAAAAGGTTTTGCTCACAAATAAGAACTGTAAATTGACTTCAAATCCTATTCCACTTTATTTCATTTAAAATCATTGAGGTTTTAACCTGTATGATTGTTTTTCCCTAAATGAAAACAAATAAACCAAAAAAATAATTCTAATGCATCACTAAAAGCAGAAAAGCATTTTAATTATATCTAAACTGACAGAGTTTAATGGTTTTCTTCAGCTAATACTTCGTTTTGTGGAAACGCCTCCTAGCAGATTACTTTTTTCCAACTCGTTTTCACATCCAAATATTTTTGTGATAGGTTTCTGAGTCCCACAGCTGCTACCTTGGGGGGGGTGATGATAAAACATCAGTGTCACCATGGTTACATGTCCCTTTTGGTGTCTTCCTCTTTTGGAAAGACCAAAGACCCTATGGTGAAGATTACCCTGGATGACTACACCACAATTTTCAGCCTGACCCCGACTGGCATAATCCGCTACCTGAGGATCCTAAAACCTGTGGACCGGGAACAGCAGATGACTTATACTTTCACGGTGAGTCTCCAGCTTCTTGCAGGTATCCTCAAATCAGCCCTCTAGTCTAACACTTGTCCTTCTGTGTGTGTTAACCTGTTACTGCTAAACCATCAGGGATGTGGAGATATCTGAGCTACAGGCTAAAACTTTGATAGAGTTTATTATGACAACAGTATGTATATTATGAATTAAATTGTTTGCTTAATAATTTTGACTTTTATTTGAAAAATTACAATGTAATGCTTCTTACCTCTATTTTAATGTTCCAGAGTATTCAGGTTTTGGAATCTGTTGGTTCAAAACTGCATTATTTGCTAAT